TAGTAACAAATTATTTTATTCACAAAATTAAAAACATTTACTCTTCTCCAAAAAATGTAAATGTTTATAAATAAAAAACTTAAATCTACATTTGATTTGTGTATATAGGTACCTATATRAACTTTTTTGGAAAAATAATCTAAATTGGTTTATGTAACAACTTAAAGTACTAATCAACATTAGATATACTGACCTGATTATGATGGAACCAACACCCTAAGACACGTGTCCCTTCAACACCTACACTAGAAGATAATGCATCTCTAAGTGCTGGTTCAAAATCAGTCATTWTCAATGACGGCGATAAGTTGGGAAATAAATTGTTCTTCATATAATCCATCACGCATTGATAYGAGTTTCTCGATTTTGTTTCCATTAGCGCATAGGCTATTGGTATCGACTGCAAAATAAAATATCATGTTTTAATTACAACAGAAAATTTTAATTAATTATTAATTAACATTTTCTGTTAGGTAGGTATTTTATATCAAAATAATAATAATTAATAACTAAATCAATAATAATTATTAAAACTTAACTCTTTATAAAATTAAATATCACTTACTACATTATCCATCATAAAATGAATACTCAGCAGTTGATTGCCCATATTAGCAGGTACTACTTTAAATGTAGCATCCGCATGGACCTCGGTTATGCCATGTGACAGAACTAAATTAATTAAGTGTGTACATGCTAATATAACACTGTATTTACCTAAACATATATTTTTTATCTTAGTAATCCAGATATAATACTTTATTTCTCTATACTTACATTTTATCACACAATTTAAATTAATATCCTAGCATATATAAATATAAATATTATAAAATACAATATATTATTATAATGAACTAAATAAGCATATTATGGGCCGCCTACTGTTCATGTAGGTATTGTGATCTATTAATTATTTTATTGTAACTAGAATTTAATTTAATAAATAACTGATACAAATTATGGGTTCTGAATGTTTCATAATATATTTATCAAATGTAAAGTATAACATAGGTATCATCACAAAAATTCCTAGTAAATATTAAGATAATTTATTTACAAACAGTAATTATAAAAGATAAAACTAAAATTGTATATCCAGATACCTACTATCTACAGATTATTAGATAAAAAAAAATAAGAATCTTTGATGAATCAAATTTTGACAATATTGTCATCAAAACTTTAAATTCTGCAAGGTATAATTTGACAATTTTAAAACAATTAAAAATTAAATATAAATATTACCATCAGAATCTCTAACTGATCCACTAAATATGGAATTGTTGCAACACATATATCTTGATAAATCTCCATTATCGAATTTTACAGCTAACTCATGCAACGATTGAGGCAGAGCTGGTAGGGAAGATCTCCTAACAGAGCGCATTATACTTTCTGCAGTTGACCAGGGATAAAGACCTGCAGCAACTCTGTGTCTAAAATACATAATATATATTAGCAGGTTCAAGTAGGATACTAAAAAATGTATAGTATATGGTACAAGATGATATAATCATACAAGATACTTTATAAAAATATAACCATAAAGAAGTTCCACTTCAAAATTTAGCTATATAAAAACTAAAATAGGTACTTACAAATTGAATCTTAATTATTATTAATAAAAGAACAATATTTTTTAATGATWTTATTCAATACATGTACTAGTGTACCATATATGAATTACCTTTGTGCTTCATCATCATAAATTAGTTTCAATGAGATGTTTTCATTTTTAGATCGTTCCTTCAATGCATCTCTAAATAATACAATCAGATTTGATTCATCGTCTCTATTAGCAATGTGTACTCTTGAATGTGGTTTTAACTCGGAAAATGTACCATCAACGTTTTTCCTAGCAGTTCCATCACAAAAGAACTCCTTGGATTTTGCACATTTATAGTAACTAAAAATATTAAAGTCATTAATATAAAACACAGTGAATGATTAGGGATGAATGCAGTTTAGCTCAAGAGATTTTTGTGAATTATTTGTTTCATGTTTGTAGTGTGTAACCTACTATTCCTATAGTTCATACTAGGTATACAGTAATATATTATTATATTTTGTTACTTACGCGATTCCATTTTTTTYCCCATTATGCCTGTACATAAAACCATTTAAGAACATGATTATATATATAATATATTATATTATAATCAAATCGGAAAAAAACTCGAGAAATTGACACTTAACAATTTGCAGTACCAGTAACGTATGCGAACCGATTGAATCGTATATTCGTATGACGCTTATACGGCTATGTGTATTAACGAGCGGATAATATATTTGTGGCTATATTTATTTTTATAATATAAGTATAATATTAATAAGACTACACTGTCTAGTTTTTCAACGTTATTTCCAAATTCCAATATCAGCTCGATTCTTTGAACTTCAAATTACTAATTAGAACGTCTGAACGTGTTACATAATAATCAACTCTACCTATTATAGTCAATACCTACCATTATTCAATACCTATATAAAATTAATAATCGGCGACCGGCGTTTGTTGATAATATGTTGGCTTTTATAGTTATATTTACGGTTTTTAATATTTTGGTTTTTGGTTTTTGCTCTGATGTTACTTTTTATTTCAACACTAGTCATTTATTATATCATCGTTTTTTAGTTTTTAAGAGGATTCTACACCCGCATGTGTTGTCCCCGTCTTATAAAATATGTAGAACATAACAAAACTATTTTGCGAGGGTAAGAACCACTCAGACTGCAGTCCAAGGTAAGAACCAAACCACTAGAAAGAGAAGAACATTGACTGTGCAACGTTGTTTTTAATTTTTCGATATCATAAATACGATCATAAAATAATATCATAAAAAGCTCTTATTGTTAAAAAAATTGATTATTTTTGAGTTTTGAGTTTTTCGAACTTGAATAACTTTTTTTTTAGTTCTGATATCAAAAAATAAAATCAACGTTGCATGGTTTGTAAAATAAATATGTTCTCCTTTTTATAGTGTGAAAATCTGGTTGCTTAGCTTGGACTACAGTTCGAGTGATTCTTACCCGCGCAAAACAGTTTTTCCTATGTTTTACATTTGAAAAACAGAGACACCACATGCGGATGTAGCCGTAGCGTGCTCTTGAAATAATTTATTATTATTATACCTAATCACATAAGCTCTACTAAATACTAATCGATATAAGTATAGGTAGGTATTCTATAACGTGAACGGAGTATAATAGCCTATAATCTATACCACACAGCAATATTCAATTACATTAAGGTGACCACATTAAAAAAACAAAAACTAAGATGATATCTTATTATTTCCGATATCTTCTTTTACTACTTATATTTTTTGGTACCGCAGTATAGCTAGAATATTGGTCTATGTGAGGTAGGAGGGGAAGCTTCATTTTTTTGTATTTCAAAAATTGGAAAATATGACGTCACAAGTTCCTCTTGAGATGATCTTACAACGATTTAAAACAATCGAATACATGTGCATTTGTACACTGTTAGACACTATACTACTATAGGCAAATTGTTCAAGCACGTGGACGTGTTTTTAAAACGCCGAAAACATACAGTTTGAATTATAAAGCCTATTTTGGATAAGACCATTCACATTTGACACTAWTTAGTAAACAGCTTTTCTGTTATAATCTTAATTTTTTTTTCAATTTTAGTCATAGACGCAAATAACGAATAGCAAATAGCGAGATTTGGGATAGCTAAAACCCTACTTTAATTATAATGAATAAGCTTATGAACATTTTTGTGGGTGATTGGCCCCTTACGCCACCACCCTATTTGGGACTGAGGTTTGTATATTTCTGATTAAAATAATTAAATTAGAAACGATTTTTATTTAATAATCGCATGATTCATGAATATTGAATTAGAACATATTATTATTATAATACCGTTATAAAATATACATAATATTATGAACGTAAAGTTGGCCCATCCGCTTTGGAGTATCAGTATTATAGATATCGACACAAAACCTTTATCATTATTTTGCGAGAATTGGTGAAAAAATGAGACATATAAGTACATAACCACATAGGCATGTGCGCAGACCTATTTTTCATGTCGCGAGCACACATATAATATGGAATATATCTTCTTTACCAGGCTACTATTTTTTTTTTTTTTTTTTTTTGAAACACATACCTATAACCTATTATAATAGTGCTATCGTAGATATTTATTAAAAATCGAAAAATTTGCCAAATTC